TGCAAGGTTCCAGTGGATAGATACACAGAGAGTTTTTAATTTTTGTAATTGTATAACACTTTGAAATAAAACTAACATATCTAAATTAAATTACCATATTGGTCAAAATGACTGCATGCATGTCTGATACTTTTCGCTGAGACTTTAAATATGTGTGCATTTTCCTGTAGCAACTTCCTCCTAACATAAACAAAACTTTCTGATGGCAAAAACATCAATTTACTTCAGATATCCTTCAAAACAGCATATTCTGTGCCGCGAAATAGCTCCTGTTTGAAAGTGAAAATGAAAGCCAAGACCTTTAAGTGTTTTAGTATCTTAACTACATATTTATAGGCTGTATTACCAAAAAAAGATTATATTTTTAGGGTAATGGTGTCATTAAATATGATGCCAGACATTCAAAGCTTAATTTTAATATCTCAATAATAGCTTTGAATGTAAATATGTTGTGACAATATGGCGTTTTATATGAGAATGGTCAGAATGAGCAGTATGGTAATTATAATAGTTAAAGAATTCTAGTTCCACTGTTAATATAGCCTACTCTCATGTCTGTGCTAACGCAGAATGAAGCGAGTGCACCGATGCCCATTCTGACCAATCACAGATGTTTCTGCTGAGCTCCTGAACACACAGCCATTCAGCTCATGCTGATATGCTCTCTCACTGGCTGTAGCTCGTCACTACATCTGACCACACGTGGGGTTGAGTCGGCCGACTGCTCTGGAATATTTAGCATGCTAAATGTTGGATTTCCGTCTGCGAGGTGTCGGCGAAGCGTCAGCGAGCCTCGTTATTGCGTTGTTCAGTAGTTCACACATAAAGAGCGGCGAGCGCCGAGCACCAGCAGATTTCTTCCCGATCACAGCCCGATCTGTGGAAGAGCTCGTTAACTTCCAAATCGGGCTCAAATCAGGCTTAAAATCTTCTAGTGTGAACTAGGCTTTAACAAGCTTGTCGACAGATCGTGCTGTGATCTTGGGAGATTCATTGGATATATGGCACTCGGCAGACTTTATGTGTGAAGTAATGAACTACACATCAAAGAGGCTCGCTCATGCGTCGCCGACATCTCTGACGAAACTCCGATATCGACTAGCATGCTAAATATTCTGGAGCGACTTGACCCCACGCATGGTCAGATGTAGTGACGAGCTACAGCCAATGAGAGAGCTGTCATGGGTTGACTGGGCATTGTGTTCACGAGCTCAACAGAATTGTCTGTGATTGGTAAGCTCACACGGAATCTGCGCGTGTAGAAATCTGCAGATTTCCGCAGATTTTTAATCCATCATTGAGTCTATATTTACTTGTATAAATTTTGATTTATTCAGTTTTTATGTTTAAATTGTTTATCGTGAAAAAACAAACATTACATCTGTACAGATAGTTACATATCCTTCTTTTTCTTTTTTTACAAAAGAGACAAAAAAAATAAAAAAATAAAATATATATATATATATATATATATATATATATATATATATATAT